CCCCCGGGACTGCTAGGAAGCTCGGGAACTCGCTTTTCTTGGGGTTTGAGGCGGGGCAGACCGAGCAGCTCCGGGTGCCGGGACCTGGGGGGTCTGGGGGTCGCTTACCAGGGCAGCCACAGGTCCGCTCCGGGCGGCGGGAGTGCGCGCCCGGCGGTGGGGAACGCGGGCTGGAACTGACATCGCCGGTTTCCCTCCCCTCCCCCAAAGTTAGGGACTAAGCCCGAGGCGGCGGTTGCACCTGAGGCTTCTGGCCGCACCGTTTCTTTTTGCAAAAGCGAACTTGGAGCCGCCGGCGCCTTGTTTACTCTCTTGTCACCATGCAGAAAAAGAAACTGTTTTTGTTTGCTTCCGGAAATGCCTCCTCTCCGTAGGACTGCAAGTCAGTCACTGTCTCTGTGTTGTTTTTCCCCTTCCTGCTTTTCATTTTCTCCTTGGAATCTTCCTTAGCGTGCACTCCCACGCGAGTTTGTGAACTCGGGGCTGGGGGATTCGCGGGCTCAGCGCGGTGCTGCCGGCTCGCGCCGCTCACGCGCCCTGGCGTCTGCACTTGCCTTTTTTGGAATCCGCTTCCTAGCTCGCCAGTGGCGAATAGAATAATCGTGGCCTCAGCAGGCTCGATGACGTCTCGAAGCCTCTGAAAGCCAATGGATTCTTATTTTATTGGGTTCCACCGAAGTTCCAGGCACTGTGTTAGGGGTGTTAATAAACATGATCTCAATCAATTCTCCCAGCAGCTGTGTAGCGAGGAGGATGTCCTCATGTCCGTTTTACAGATGGCAAATGGGGTTTGGAAAATTTTTCAACCAAGATCGCACAGCTAATAGGTGACAAGGCCGGGATTTAATTTAATTCCAAAGTCCAGGGAGTTTGTTGATTGCACCCATTTCCAAAAATAAAACAAAAACGTAAGTTGAAAGAAAATCAAACACAATAATGTCTGGCACCATCTTATGATTTGGGGGGGGGGGGGGAATTCTCCCTGATTGGAAAAATTAATTCTCCCTGGTTCCTTCAGAAATAAGGTGCACTATTTGGGGCCTTTAGAAACTTCCTTAGAGAAAATTTAAGAATAAAAATTGAGAAACCATTTATAGTCTCAAATCACATCCTTCTTGCCCTGGCGGGTAGTTCAGTTGCTTAGAGCATTATCCTGATATGCCCAGGGTGTGCGTTTGATCCCCTGAAAAGGCATGTAAGAAGAATCAACCAATAAATGCATGAATAAATGGGACAACAAATCGATGTTTCTCTCTCTACCTCTCTCTCTCTCTAAAATCAATCAATAAATTTAAAAACCCACATCCTTTCTCTTCCTTATAATTAATGACTACATTATTGCAATGTTGTTTGCTTTGGAAATGTCTCCTAGTTCAGGGAGAGCAATACTAGTACATGTAGCAACATTATCAAAGCCGGGAGCTATACTTACTTAACTTTATACTATAGCATCTTTATCAGAGGTGCATATTTAAAGCACAAAGGAAACCTTGCTTTTCTGAAAGAATGCATGCACACACATTCATCTATATGCATACATTTATTTACATATTCACATTATTATGCTATCTATAAAATTATAAATTAAATACAATTTGTTTATTATACAAGGTGTTCCAAAAAATGTATACTTTAACAGCTGTTAGTTTAATTTTGAAAATGAAATGTATTTTAATAAACACGGCCTTTATTCAGAGTGTAGTTATATATTTTTGGGACACCCTTTATTTATAGGATATGTGGCCTAGAAAATTAAGATTTATTAAATATAATTTATAAATGCAGATGAGTTAAAAAAAAAAATAACTGACATAACCCTGTCACCTAGATAATTGTTTATATTCTGTAGTCTGTCCTCCATTTCTCCCTCCTAAGTCTTTTTTCTTCACCAGGTTAGGGAAGTTTTTGGTCATTATTTCTTCAAATAGGTTCTCAATCCCTTGCATTCTCTCCTTCTGGTACCCCTATAATGCAAATGTTATGCTTCATGTTGTCCCAAAGGTCCCTTAAACTATCCTCATTTTTTAGAATTATTCTTCCTTCTTGCTGCTCTGATTGGGTATTTTCTGCTACCTTGTCTTCCTGATTCGATCCTCTGCTTCATCTAATCTATTGTTTATTCTTTTCTAGTGTGTTCTTTATTTCAGATATTGTATTCTTTATTTTTTTTATGCGTTCTATGTCATTTTTCATGCTGTTGAAGTTCTCACTAGGTTTCTTGAGTATCCTTTTAACCACTTTTTTGAACTCTATTTCTGGTAATTGCTTACTTCCATTTCATTTAGCTCTGTTTCTGGAGGTTTCCTGTTCTTTTATTTGGAGTTTATTTCTTTGTCTCCCAGTTTGGCTGCCTCTTTATGTTCGTTTCTATGTATTAGATAGGTCTGCTATATCTCTTTTAGCCTTTGTATAGTGGCCTTATGTAGTAGGTGTCCTGGGGGACCAGTGGCACAGTCTCCTTGATCAGTTGGGTTGGGCGCTCCAGGGATGTCCCTTGTTGGGTTATGTGACCCCTCCTGTTGTAAATGAATCTTGATTGTGATTGCCCCATTCATGCCCAAGGCCATCCCTCAGGCTGGGTGACTGTGAGGATTGACCCTGACTGCAGTGTACAAGCTGCTGTGCAGGTGCTGACCACAGGAGGCAGATTACACCTCAGCAGGGTCTGGTACCACTTTTGAAGCTAATTGGACCCTGCTCTGATGCTGTCTGAGGCTGGCCCCTGATCAGTGTCAGGCCAGCAGTTTATCAGGTCCAAAGAGACCAAGATTTGGCCGTGTGAAGGGAGGGCTCTGCACCAGTCTGGCATGTGAGGGGGGAAATGGCTCTTGTCCTAGAGCCATGCAACTCAGTGTTTCCAGATTCTGTCAGGAGTTCAGTCTCAGCAGAGTGGGGACATAAGGAGTCAGGAGGATGGGGCTAGTGGATCTCCCAGGAGGGAGAGGTATCCGTCAGGCTTGAGGAATGGGGGGTAGTGGTTCCCACCCCTGAGTCACACGACTCAGTCTTGCCTGGATTCTGCCCAGACCTCGGCAGGGTGGAGCCACTAGCAGTCAGCAGATTGCATTTGCCAGGATCCCCAAGCATGGTGACAGCAGATTGTTCATGGTGGGGAGGCATTGCTGGTCAGGTTCATGAGAAATTAGGGGGCATGTCCCCCATCCCAAAGCCACACAATGTAGTCACTGACACCCCCTGAGTCTGCCTACACCCCAGCCCAGGCAGCTGACTGCTCAATAAGGCGTAAGCTCCACAGGGAGGGACAGCAGGGAGTCCAGGGGAGGCTATTGCATTCCCCCAGGCTGATGCCATCTGCAGGGGAGTGCTCCACCCATGAAAGATGAGGTCTGTGCTATGGGAGAATGAGTCCTCACAGGAATCCTGGTGGATGGTCCTTCAGCTCTCTCTTCAGAGTCACAAACCCCAGTCTCTTTCTCAAGTGGCTCTAACCCACTCCACCAGTTCCCAGGGTGAGTGGCTGTGAGTGAGATTTTGTGACCCTTTAGGAGGGTACCTGTGTTTCATTTCTCCCTGGTGGGAAGAATCCCCAGATAGTCATAGTTTTGTGGGCACCTGTTCTCAGCTCTGGTGCTCTAAGCTGGGGAGCTTGGTTTGGGGTTGAGATTCAAAACTTTTCACTTTGTGGCTGAGGTATCCCTCTGGCAAAGAGGGTGCTGTTTCTGAGTATATCTCTTTGGGACACTAGTAATTTCCTTCTAAATAGTTCTTATCATGGAAGTGTCAATATTTTAAAGGAATCTCTCTGAAGGCCACAAGAATGCTTTAGGGCAGCTGGATCACTATAGAACAACTATCAGTTGGAGAGAATAACTGTTTGCTAAGAAATGATCAAAAACCTGAATAAGGAAATCCCCCTCTTGAAAACCCCTTGTGAGCTAAATACCTTTTGGCAAATTATCTTGGGTTTCAAAAGTCCCTTAATGAGTCCCATGTTTTCTAACAGGTACTAAAGACTATTTACTTATGATTAAAAAAATAATAAAAGTACATAATTTCAAATTTGATCCATAAGATGAAAAGCAAGTTAACCCAAATTAGGACAGTGACTTCATCTCTTTCTTCTTTTTTAAATAGGTAAATATAGAGACATTGACCATAATTACAAAAAGTAATTCTTGATAAAGAAAAGTCATTCATTATTTCACCACCTAATACAAGTGCTTTTTATTTTACTTACAGCCTCCCTGGCCTTGTATACACATGTACAAAATTGCATATGCATTCAGTGCTTTTTATAGCCTGCCTCTTGTCAGTTTGTGTATTCATCAACCTTTTTCTATTTTTACATAATTTTCATATCATAATATTTATTGAATGCATTATAGAGAGAGCATTTATTAAATGACCTTACATTACTATAATTATTATCACATTATTTTA